CAGATCTAGAACCTTCAGAAAGAGGGTTAAGCTCAAACGGTAATCTCTGCAAGACACACAACTCCATGGAGTTGGTTTAAAAGTCAAAACCACCAGCTAGAGTGACTCGGTGGGTTGAATGTCATCCTGTGCACCAAAAGATTGCCTGTTCCAACTCCCAGCTAGGGCACATTCCTGGGTTGCTGGTTTTATCCCTGGTTGGGGCACCTATGGGAGGCAACTGATTGATGCTTCTCTCACACTGATGTTTCTCCCTCCTTCTCACCAAGTCCTCAGGTGAAGATTTAAAAAAAAAAAAAAAAAAAAAAAAAGTCGAAACTGGTTTGGCTCAGTGGATAGAGCGTCGGCCTGAGAGCTGAAAGGTCCCAGGTTCAATTCCGGTCAAGGGCATGTATCATGGTTGCGGGCACATCTCCAGTAGGGGGTGTGCAAGAGGCAGCTGATCGATGACTCTCCCTCATCAATGTTTATAACTCTCTATCCCTCTCCTTCCTCTCTGTAAAAAATCAATAAAATATATTTAAAAAAATAAATAAATAAAATTTAAAAAAAAGTCAAAACCAAGAAATGCTGAGACTTGGAGCAAATCCAAATCCCTTTCACCCAAATCAAGGTTGCTTGAGTCTAAACCACTTTAAATTGTCCAGTTTCATGCTGGTTGGTGTTGCTCAGTGGTTAGAGTGTGGTGGACCTGTGCACCCAAAGAGGGCACATACTGGGTTGCAGGTTCAACTCCTTCCCCAGTTTGGACACATGTAGGAAGCAAATAAGCAATGTGATTTGTTTTACTTTTAGATGTTTCAGTTTCTCTCTCCACTTCCCCCCCTTAAAAAAAAAAAAAAAAAATCAATGGAAAAATACCCTTGGATGAGGATAAACAAAAAACAATAAACTGTCCAGTTTCAATTATTTCGTGGACACCAATTTTTTACCTAGCTTATCTCCAACCTTTACTAGCTCAATCTGGTGGGCTCTCCCCCTTTGAAAAACTACCTCTTCTTAGTAAGGCTCAAGAAAACATGTGCCTCACTAATAGGGAAACTAGATAATGGAGGAAGTGAAGAAATACATAAAAAAGAATTATCTTCCAAGAGTTATTCAACAAATTAATGAGCATATGTATTATATGCCAGGCACTGTTCTGGAATCCAGGGACTTATCAGTCAACAAAACAAAACAAAATAGTATTCTTATTAGAAATGTTTTCACAACTTGCAAGAAAAGAGATGCCTATGCTCCAGAATTCCTGCTGTGGAGTTATGGGGTTTTTATATATTTTGGTCCTGATATACCCAAAAGAAATACGAATCCCGTTCTCTAATAAAATTGAAAATTTTCTGATCCCCTTACACAGGTTGCATCCTTAATCATCACCTTTAAACTAGTTTCCAAGAGTGGAGTTTCCTAGGCTTAAACTTGCCTCCCCAAACCCAAAAGAGTGGCATTTTGGGCATAAGTTGCAGAGTAGACAAGTTTTCCCAATGCTAATCAATATCCTGGAGGGCAACCATGGTCAATGTGACATCTGAGGGTAATTTAAACCCATCAATTCTCCCTGTCCCGCAGACTTCAAAATATCCTCCAGCCGAAACAGGTTTGGCTCAGTGGTAGAGTGTCGGTCTGCGGGCTGAAAAGTTCCAGGTTCGATTCCGGTCAAGGGCATGTACATTGGTTGGGGGCACATCCCCCATGGGGAATGTGCAGGAGGCAGCTGGTCGATGTTTCTCTCTCATAGACATTTCTAGCTCTCTATCCCTCTCTCCTCCTCTCTGTAAAAAATCAATAAAACATATTAAAAAACAAACAAACAAAAAACAAAAAAATCAATAAAATATATTTAATTTAAAAAAAAATGTCCTCCAATGGCTGCCCATCTTCCTGCTTAACCTATAGAACTGGTACTGGGAGAAAAAAAAAAATAGTTGCCTCTAATCATCAGTTTGTGTTTTAACCCCAAGGCTACATTCTAAAAGTACCTCCAATCTGCCTACCATTCTGGACCCAGACACTGGAGATGAGGTATATTCTTCCCTTAGCAGAGATGGGGAACATCCAGCCTGAGGGCTGTAAGGCCCAAGAAATCTTTTGGTCTGGAACGCCCAAGGCATTTGACCAAATATAGCAGGCTAATCTTTCAGTTGGTAATTTTGTATTACCCAGAAATATTATAAACATCCAAATAGCTGTTGACAGAAAAAGGTTCCCCACCTGAGTTAAGATAAAGACTTTAATCCCACATCTATCTACCGATAAAAGGTAGGAAGGTCAAAAAGCGAGAATTCAGCCTGAACATCACCCAACAGCAGTCTGGAGGCTCTTTGGAGACACCTCCTATTGTCTTCTGCATGAGTGAGGTCCTTTCCAGAATCCCAAAGGACCACGAGGGACTTGGAGGGAGAGTTCAGGGAAGAGTCAACAAGATGATGACCTAGAGATTAGAAACCATCTATGCTGTCAGGTTCCAATAATTTTGAACTTTTAGTTTTAGTTTTGAAAACGAAAGACATCTATTTAAAAGGTCCGCTCATTAATACTTAAAATTTACGTTACCAAGTATTAATGAGTGGACCTTTTAAATAGATGACTGAGTAATACTTTACCTAGATTCAGAAACTTGAAAATAAAGGAACACACCAAAAACAAAAAATCTCTTTTGAGTCAGGAAGGTGATTTGCATAGAGGAGTTGCCATAGGATGGCTGTGTCTCCTCCCTTCCCCCCAGAAGGTAAAGCTCTGGATTCTAAATTCAGTGGACAGAGGGGCCAGGTTTTATCTGATGCTTTCCTCAGGGTGGAGGGCCCAGGATTGCTCAACATAGCAATTTTTTTTTGGGGGGGAGTGGAGGGGGAAGAGAGCAGAAACCGTGTGTTTTGGGAGAGTTAGAGCAACTCTAACCTACACACCACGAAGGCCGAAATCCAGGGAGGCCCAGAAAGTACGAACTCCTATTCGGATAGAGCGAGGACCTAAAATAGTAAATTAAGAAAAAGTCCCTTTCTCCCCACGCCTATTACATGACACCAAGGAAGACGGACTAAAGCTTTCTCATGTGGACGAGGCCGGGGCGGAAAGCAGGGCCCACTCTCCCGCATGCTCAGGCGGCCGCACAGGATGCTCCCGGCGCGGGCGGCCTCGCTCCAGCAGCGCCGGCCGAGAGCCTCCCGAGCTCGCCGGGCCGCCCCCGCCACGGCCTCCCTCCGCCTCCGGCTCCGGCTCCGAAGGCCTTCCCCGGCCCAAGGCCCACGCCCACAGGGCCCAGTGAGGGCGCTGGGGCCTGCTCTCTCCCGGAACCACAGGCCTTCGGCGGCTGGTAGGCCGAGTCGGAGGGGGAGGCGCGGGGGCTCCAGGCCGCAGGGCTCGGCGCCGGCAGTGCGGGCCGGCAGCCCTCACTAGGCCCGCATGGCCGTTCCAAGCGAGACAATCAGGCCGGCCGGGCCTGCATGACACAGCACGATCCGGCCCAGGCCCCGACCCGGGCCCAGCGCAAAGCCCGCCTAGGGGGCGCACGGGTGCGCAGCCTGGCCCCGCCGGCCCTTCCTTCGCTCCCGTCCTCTCGCTCGTCTCCTTCCTTCCATGGCTCCCTCTTTGCCGGTCTCCACACCGATTAGACGCGCCCACGGCCAGGTCCACCCGGGCCTACCCAGCGCCCGGGGGCCCCCCTGTGCGCGCACCCGCGGCGGGCGGGCGGGCGCGCGCACACACTCACTCAGCTCCGGAGGCCATGGCGCGAGCCTCTCCCGGCCGGCGGCGGTGGCAGCCCAAGGGTAACGGCTACGAGGGGCGGCAGTAGACCGTCTGGACCCGGGCTCGGCTCTCCCGGGCGGGGTGGCGAGCAGCGGCGACAAACCCGCAGGCGGCCTCCCAGTCGCTTCCTCCCAGCGGCACCCGTGCGGCGAGCGGGCAGGAGACGTTGGCTCCTGATCCGCGCGAGGCAGCGGCTGCGATGACTCAAACGACGGCTACAGACGCTGCGCTGAGACTGAGCCGAGAAGAGCCGAATCATCGGAAGAAGAGGTACTCTCGCTTCAGCCAATCAGCGCCTGCCCCAGGGACTACCGCCCGCCTCTCGGCGCCTCTCCCCAGCAACCCACGGGCCAGAGCCAATCAGAAAATTCGCTTTGGCCTGGCTCCCGCCTCAAGTATGCATCGCCACGTCAATTGGCCGCAGCACTACGCTTCCTCGACGGATTGGTAGTCTTAGCCAATCAACGAGAGGAATGGGACCAGATGGACTGGCGGAAGGAGGGTTCAATCTCTTGGAGGCGGTCTCTCCCACTTGGCTCCAGCTCATTGGCTCCTGAGTTTATCCTGCTGGAAAAACCTGGCACAATGGATTGAATCCTTTTATTACTGTAGTATTAACCTACACATCTATCTTCTTCCAAAATGAGGATTCACCCTCATCCTCACCCCTCTCTCTGCTCCTTCAAAATGCTAGCTCAGGTCACTTCTACTCTGGACCCTTTTGAACTAGCACTGCAGCTCTCAATCCACTCTATTTTATCATAGTCATTGCAGTGGGTTAATGCTGGTCCCAAAAGACTTTACAGTTCTTAGGGGCTTGGAGGTACATTCTTCCTCTTACCACTGATGATTTGAGGATGGAGGGCACCCAAGTCCAGAGAGAAGTTGAAAGGCTACCAAAGAACACACCAGATTCAAGAGAGCCCAAAGCAACAAGAAAATTGCATGGGCCCAAAATGCCAGCTAGTCCTGACTATATTCAACAGGCAGCTTTGGTAGCTTGTTAACTTGATTCATCCTTCAGACACATTTGACTGAGGCAGTCAACTCTCAAATTCATAGAATTTGGAATTAAGGAAGGGATGGGAAGTCAATCTGAGAGACTCAGGTTTGCTTGTCTCTCCCCTCCAAGAATCAAATACCTGCCCTTGTCATGGAAAGCCTGCCTAGATCACCTTGCAGACCCACCTCCAATCATTCTGTCAACTCACACAGGATTTGGGGCTTGGGCCTTTGCTTTCAGGCAATAGAAAGAGCTAAAGTCTGCTTTCTGAATAAGGATTCCTCTAGCATTCCTTTAGCCCTTTCTTCTACCCCAGACCTCAAGTCATAAGGTAGATGATGTTGGGAGATGGCTAAACAACCAGCACTCAAGTGAACCAGACAGCTGTGTATGTGGTATATGTAACAGGCAGACAAGAGATAGATATGAGATTTTACTCAACACAAGCAAAGGGGAAACAGGGGAAAAGGTGCTTTGAGCAAAGTCAATGCCTTGTTGGGGGGAGGGGTATCTCAGGAACCAGATGGCAATAACTAGGTCAAAATTTTTTTCAGGAATATCATCAACCTTTCAAAAGCTGGACTTATATGGGAATGGTCAGCTCCAGACACATTCCCCAAGGAGGGTAAAGCAGAAAGCCCTCCCCACAGAAAGATGGCCCACTAGGACCCCAGCTCGGATTCTTCTAAACTTGGCAACTACTGGTTACAAGGCTCCAGCAGAGATGTCCGAAAATCTTCAAGAAGGGTTTCATGGTCAGGAGGACGAATCCAGCTCAAACAGGTTTCAAGGTACAGGGGGAGAGACCTGTAGAGCAAAAAGGGTGATGTCTAAGAGAAAAGTGTAGGCAGAAGGTTGGGCAGACACTCCCTCCCTTTCATTCACCACCCCACACCCCGATAGGCCCAAGGATTCCAGGATACCAGCTGCTCCTACACCTAAGCCAGCAGGCCTCAACCTCACCATGTAGCGTTCTCCTGTGGCAACTTAGTTTGGGCCTCCAGCTTCCGCCAAAGAGCAGTGGCCTCATCCCTCCGATTCAGTCTCCTCAGAGTCTGAAGCAGGTGAAGTGAAGCGTCTCCATTACCTGTGGTCCCATTCAGGAAGACAGAATCTTAGAACTTGACCCAGTCTTAGGCATCATTTTATAAAAGGCACAACTGAGGCATAAAGCAGGAAACTGTCTTGCCTATAGTCACATACTAAAATGAGATTATTCCCAATCATTCCTACCCCTAAGCACTGCCTGGCCAGGATAAAGGGCTCAACTAATTCTGCTCCTGCCCAACACACTCCAGACACCATCACTGTCTTTGTGTCTGAGGACATTGGGAAGACTGGGGAACTCTTAGAGACCTTCATACACACTTGTGTATGTCTTGTGTACGTCTGTGTATATCCCTAGTTATATACAGCACAATACCATTCACCCCTCCTATCTGGGAACATCACTCAGGACCTCCCTCATGTGCATCTATGCATAGCTGACATCATGCAAATATACATACCTGGACACACCTGCACACCGAGGAGGAAGTCCTGTAGTGCTCTGGTATCCTGGCCACTGGCCACCCATTCCAGTCCACGACTAATCAGGGCAGCTGCCCGAAGCTGTTGTAGTGCCTCGTCTGACATACACCACCCCTGTTCACAGTTGGAAGCAGGCCCTGGGGATCCCCAAAGTCAAGAAGTGTGTTACCAGCCACAAAGTTACTAACTAAACCCCAAGCCCCCTCCATCTCTTCTTGTGTCCGGAGTCTCTTTCTCTCACATCTCCTGTTGGGCTGGGACACGTGTAGAGGGAACTGATATTTACTACCACCACTTCCAGGAGGGAAGAGGAAAATGGAATCTAAATCACCTTGTTCTTTATCCTTAGGTATGCACCGGAAGAGCAGCTCAAGGCACCTGAAGTGGGACATAGAACAGGCGTAAAGAGGAGTCAAGCTCAGAAACTCTGGGGTGAATAGATAAGAATGGAGCTCACCAATTCAGGTCTCAATGAGAAAATCATCCTTCCACACTTCCCCTAGGGCCCCCACAGTTGGCTTCCTGGGCTCACCGGCTAAATTCACTAATTGCTTGTTTCGAGTCTCCTAGTTGCACCCAGGCTTGTCCCTGAAGCAAGTAGGCGGCAGAGACCCAGGGTGGGCAGTGTGGTGACTCCTTGGTTCCTTTTCTGGCATCTTTCCACAGCCAGGGCATTTTTGGAAGCAGAGATGATGTTCGGCGTAGCAGCTCCTCACATATGGTTAAAGCATCCTGAGCTTGGCCTGCCTGGATCAGTGCTGCTGCTGCCTCCAAGAATATCTCAGGCATGCACAGTCCTTGAGGGCAGGGGAGCCGAGAAAACTGGGGAGGAGAGAAAGATGCAGTGAGCACCACCCCCAACCTCTGGTACCACATGGAAACCACCCATTTCTTGCTGCCTTGGATTCCTTGTTCTGGGAATCCTGACTGATCTGGCCCCTTTACTCCCTAGACTTGACAGACAAAACAGCAGAGGGGAAAAAAAGAAAACAGCAATCTTGCTCTATTCCAAAGGAGACTCCAACTCTTTCCCCACCCCAACTGTAGAGAACCTTGAAGACATACCCACCTTTGGCTCCCAGCCATCCAACAACAGGGCCAGTAGATCCAAGTAATGCTCGGCAGCATCCTCTGTCCTGAGGAGTCACAGCCCATGAGCCTTACATTAGATCCTTGCAGGGACCTCCAAGGACTCCAGGCTAAGGGAAGGATGCTCAAGGGACCTGGGGAGTGGGTGGTCTTGTGGCTCCAACCTTGGCTAAGTATGGATATACCCTACTTACACGATGGATTTGGGAGGAGACTTCAGAGCTTTAAAGATACAGGTTAGTACACAGACAGCAGAGGGGTGGGGGCATATGCTGGGTAGGCGAGTGCGCAGGGAGAGGTCAATGGGGGAAAAAGGAGACTATGTAAAACGTTCAACAATAAAGAATTTTAAAAGATAAACCTGTACAAATTAAAAAAATAATAATAACAGTATACAGGTTAGTGTCTGGGAGAAGAGTTCAGGTCCAGGGGCAAGGCAGGATGTTGAGGAGTGGGGACCGAGGTCCTGCCACTGATCCATCCATCCCTCTCACTCACAAGAACAGAGACAGAGGTAGCAGAAGTGGGGAGAGGAGCTTGTGGAGAGAAGTGGAGAGAAGTGAGCAAGGCAGGACCTCACCTTCCCGTCTGCAGACATCGGCTTGCTAGCAGGTGTTTGACCTGGCTCAGTGTGCCACAGCGAAGGGGGGAGGCTGGGTCAGGTTGTGGGAGTAGCAGCTCTACCTCAATAAGAAAACGGGGGGCTTCAGAGCTAGGAGTGACACTCAGGGCCTAAAAGAGACAAAATAAGAAAGTATATCTATAACCTTTCAGAGCCATGCTTCCTTCCACTTGACTAAATGCCTCACACAGGCACCCCAGTAAGCCCCATATCCTCCACTGGGACAGCTCCTTACCTCAACCAGAAGCTCCAGACTCTCCAGCTCTGCTGCTGTGTTCCCCAGTTGCTGATACAGCCTAGAGGCCTCCAGAAGCGGGGGACCACAGATTAATCCCCCCTTCAGGGCTGTAATCAAGTATAGCATAGCTCTCTGTGGGTTGCCCTAAAGGGGAGAGAAGACGCAAGCCTCAGCCACGCTCACGAAGAAAAAAGCTGTCCGTAACACGCAGGGTTTCCCCAACCCACCCTAGCACTTTCTTTACCATCTTTCGGAGACAGGTCCCCAGCGCTGTGTACACCTGGACCAGCACAGCCCGTGGGCATAGACCTGAGGCTGCTTCATGCAGGCTGCTCAGTGCCCTGGGCAGGTTTCCTGCGATCAGCTCCTGGAGGCCTGAGAGCCATCAGGGTGTGAGTTAAATAGATTTATGTATAGAACATGATAGGAAAGTCATGAGGCTAGAGACCCCTTAAGATGGGGAACGGGGAGGAAGGCATGAGTCAGACTGCTGACCTTGGCGGTAGGCAAATGCTGTCAGAAGAACATCCCTCAAGCCTTGGGCACCCTGCAGGGTGTGTGGGTCATCTGGTTCCTTAGCTGGGGGGCTCCAAGTTTTTAGATGGAGCAGCAGATCCTCAGAGGACCCATTCTAGGAGAGAAGGACAAAGAGGACCCACGTCTATAACGATTTCTCTTTCCGTTTCAGTCTACCCTGGCTGGACCTTGAACTCAAGGGTCCTTCTGATTCCCGTTCCCCCCAATTCTAAGAGACAGCTGTGGGGAAAGGATAAAAGGAGGAAGAAAAACCAATGACCATCCATTCTAGAGAACCTCCTCGCTCAGGATAAGCCCATGAGGACACAGGGCAAGGACCATGTTTGAGCTATTGCTGAAAAGACAGACTGGGAAGTGACTTCTGCAAGGACAAGAGAACCCTACCACCACTCAAGATTATTAAGTGTGGTTTGTTTTTTATTGACTTTTTTTTAGAAAAAGAGGAAGGGAAAGAGAGAGAAGCATCGATATGTTTTTTCCGCCCATTTATGCATTTATTGGCTGACTCTTGCATGTGCTCTGACTGAGGAATAAACCCACAACCTTGGTGCATCAGGATACTGCTCCAACTGAGCTATCTTGCAGAACATAAGCTACTTTTATTATTATTTATTTATTTATTTATTTATTTATTAATATATTTTTATTGATTTTTTTACAGAGAGTTAGGGAGAGAAATAGAGAGTTAGAAACATCGATGAGAGAGAATCATCGATCAGTTGCCTCTTGCACACCCCCCACTGGGGATGTTCCCGCAACCAAGGTACATGCCCTTAACCGGAATCAAACCTGGGACCTTTTCAGTCCGCAGGCCGACGCTCTATCCACTAAGCCAAACCGGTTTCGGCCACATAAGCTACTTTTAAAATGCTCCCTAAAGAACCCCTCCAATGAGCAACCAACCAGAGCAAGGTCACCTAAGATTCCTTGAGAGACCCCAGCAGCCTTTCCAGCACAAAATGATCCTACTACAGCTGGGAGGAGGGAAAAGTCCCTTAGATCCAGGTCACTTCCCAAATTACCTGGCTGCCATTCAGGGTCTGCAGCAGCAGGGTCAGGTCCCCAAGATGGTCCGTGCTCAGCCAAAGGGCAGCCTGCAGGCCAGCCAGGTGGTGCAGGGCAGGGAGCAGCTCCGGCGGAAGGGAGGCAGCATGGAGGACGGAGTTCCACAGGCCCCTGAGCCCGAGCCCACATTCTAGCTTGGGCCCCACCTGTTTCTGGGTCTCCAGCACTACAGAGTACACACACACACACACACACACACACACACACACACAGCTGAGATAGGACCTCATCTCTGGCTTTCTCTTTTTTACAGTAGTCCGAAGACCACAAAGGTGTTCCTGGTCCGAGGAGCACATGGAGGATGAGGGAAGGGCATCTCTTTTCATGGAGGTGGCACATTATGTTGCTCCTCCCACCCCCCCTTGCAAGGACTTAAACTCAGACTGAGGCTGGCAGGAGCACGGGAGACATTCTCTGGCCCTCACCTCTCTCCAGGCCCCTTTGGATATCCTGTGCCTGGTCCTCAGTGAAGCCCTGGGCCAGGCTGGCCCTCAGGGTAATGAAGTTGCAGATGACAGTCAGTTCCAAGGGGAGAACAAGAACAGCTGCAGGGAGTCCTAGAGCAACAGATGCTGGTCTCATGGGCTGTCCCCCTCATAAAAAAGTCCCTAAACACCCCACCTCAACCAAATGGCCTCAGTAAAGAATGCTCCCTTTAGCTGAAACCGGTTTGGCTCAGTGGTAGAGCATCGGTCTGTGAACTGAAAGGTCCCAGGTTCGATTTCCGTCAAGGGCAGGTACCTTTATTGGGGGCACATCCCCGGTAGGGGGTGTGCCAGAGGCAACTGGTAGATGTTTCTCTCTCATCCACGTTTCTAGCTCTCTATCTCTCTCCCTTCCTCTCTGTAAAAAATCAATAAAATATATATGTTTTTAAAAAATGCACCCTTTAAAAAAGGAAAAATTCTGAGTTTGGAAAGGGCAAAAAGTTCTCCAGATTAGACCATTCTGGGAACCACATCTTCAAATGCTGGTGTGTGTGTGTGTGTGTGTGTGTGGCCAGGAGATTCACTTGTACAAAGAAGATCCACTCCCTGTGTGTGCCTTAAACAGCTCCCTCCCCAACCCTACCCCCTATCCTGAATAATTGCCTCAATCCCAGAAATGAAGAGGTCTGGCTGTGGAGGGGCAGGAGTGTGTGTGTGAGTGTGTGTGTGTGTGTGTGTGTGTGTGTGTGTGTGTGTTGGGGGGAGAGGGGGTAAAGGGAGGGAGTTTTGAACTGACCATCCTGGAGAGGACCCTGCTTACCCTGCAGACTGTGGAGGAGTCCTCTGAGCCCTTCCAGCGCATCTTGAGCCAACTTCTGTCGCCTGGGTGACAGGCCCAGGTGCTCAGCCACCTGCCAAACATGGGGTGGAGTAGAGTCACTAAGAATAAGCTATTTCCTCTACCCCCGCAGCAGTAGCAAGGGATGTCATTCTCCAGTCATTTCTGGCTTTAGGAGGAAGTCAAGCTCAGCCCCCGCTCCCCAATGGCTGATTGGGGTTAAGTCCACAAGCAAACTCTCTTTCTGCTATTTTGGGGCTGCAACGCGAGATCCAAGCAACCACGTTACCTTGGCCTGTCGAACTAGCTGGTCGTTCTTCTCCCTCCACAGGCCCAGGCAGTTGGCTTGTGGCCCTGAGGAGCCCAGAGGGGTCTGATGGGACATGGCTGGGCCCGGAGACCTGGAGGGGGCTAGCCTGTCCCCACGGCAGCCCCCACCCTCGGGGGCGGGGCCGCGCGCGCTCTCCGCGCCGGGCTCGCACCCTCGCCGCCTCTAGTTGGCCGGGCCGGCCAGACTCTCAGCTGCTGTTGGTGGCCTTGGAGGCACACTCCCCCGCGGGAAACTCGAAAAATAAACGATTCCCCACAGGCCGGGGAGGAAGGCAGAGGCGTGTCTCAGAGAGGAGTTCCACCGCTCGCCGTTCCACCAGCTGGACCCTCGCGCCGAGGCCTTAAGAAGTCGATATTGAAATCAGAGCCCGCGGGAGCGCTTCCCTCGCAGCCACACTTCCAGGTTCGCCGGTTTCCCCTCCCGCGGCGGACGGCAGGCCGCGCGGTGCATTCTGGGAATTGTAGTCCCGCCGAGAGAAGCTGGAGAAGAAATCGTCTCCAAAAGGAACGGGCTGGAGACCAAGGCCCTGGGTAATCGGGCCATCTTTTTTCTGTTCACCATGGAGCATCAACACTCTCGTCACCGCCGGCTCAACTGCCTGCAGTCTGACTGCGGACAGCGCGTCCTGGCCCTGTGTTTGTACAGCCTGCTCTGCTGCTCACAGGTATAGTACCGGCCCAAATCCTTCCAGCAAATGGAGCCAGGAGACTTGGACATCTGTATGCAACAAACAAAAACCATCTGCGACCATTAACACACATAAATGGGAGGTTAGACTTCATTAAAATGAAAAAACTCTTATGTTACAAAGACACCATCAAGAAAATTCAACCACAGCCTGGCCTGCATGGCTCAGTGGTTGAGCTTGGATCTGTAAACCAGAAGGTCTGAGTTGTGGGCTCCATCCCCAGTGTGGGGCATGCAGGAGGCAACTGATCAATGATTCTCTCACATCATAGATATCTCTCTCTCTCCCTCTCTTCCTCCCTTCCTCTCTCCCTTTCTGAAATCAATCAAAATATACACTGAGTGGCCAGATAATTATGATTCATAATAATCTGGCCACTCAGTGTATATTTATATATATATTAGAGGCTCGGTGCATCAATTTGTGCATGGGTGGGGTCAGGCCAGCTTGGCCAGGGGAAGAGGACATGGGCAGTTGGTCCAGTGGTCTGCTGGTCAAACTCCTCATTGAGGGGACAATTTGCATATTAGCCTTTTATTATATAGGATATACAGAGTGGCCAGATTATTATGCGTTCAGAGATCATAATAATCTGGCCACTCAGAATAAAACAAGGTGAAAAACCACCATTCTCCAGCGCATTATCCTAATCCATTGAGATTCTGCTTCCTGGCAATTGACAGTTTTCTCAAATAAACTCACAAAAATTCTGTACAGGTTTGAATGTTTTTACATGAACAAAATCCTCCTAAGAGAAATGAAAACAGACTTGTATGTAAATGCTCATAGCAGTTTATTTTGTTGTTATTAATCCTCACTGAGGATATATTTTTTCCCCATTGATTTTCAGAGAGTAGAAGGGAGGAAGAGAGACACAGAGAGAAACATCGATTCTGTAAAAGAGACAAATAGATTGTTGCCTCCCAGACAGGATGGAACCTTCAACCAAAGTACATGCTGCAACCTGACCCTTCAGTCCTCAGCCATGGCACTTACAGCAGTTTTTAAAAACACATTCACAATAGCTTTTAAAAACTGGATATAATCCAAATGTCCATTAGATCATAGCTATGCAATGGAATATATGACTCAGCAATAACTAGGGGCAAAAAGTGATAATGCACAACAGGGATGAATCTCATAACCTTATTCTAAGTCAAAGAAGCCAAACCAAAAGACCACATATTGCATTCCATTAATATGAAATGTCCAGAAAAGATAAATTATAAGGACAAAAAGAGTGGGGTTGGGGATTGATTGTAAACAAAGGCAGGGAATTTGTGGAAGTGATGAAAATTTTCTAAAACTAAATTGTAGCACTTGATAATAGTTTCTTACATATGATATGAAGAGAACAACGTGGCAAAAGAACATCAAATGAACATCTTAAAAATTTTATTTTTGTGTGCTATATAATAGATTACTTAGCAGTATAACTAAGTAAGGCTGTCAGTCTCCTTCAGACAAATGAACAAACAAAACTTAAAAATTTTGTGCTTCAGAGGACACTGTCAAGAAAATGAAAAGAACCAATGGACGAAAAATTCTGTGGGGGAGGGCATATATGGATATGGGGGGGGGGCAATGGAAAGATATGTACACATATAATACCTTAATAAAAAAAATAAAAAAAATAAATGATAAAAAAAGAAAGGGGGGTAATGTTAAAATATGTACACAGATAATAATTTAATTTTAAAAATATTTTTTAAAAAAGAAAGAAAATGATAAGAGCCCTGACTAGTTTGGCTCAGTGGATAGAGCAACAGCCTGCGAACTGAAAGGTCCCAGGTTCAATTCCAGTCAAGGGCATGTACCTTGGTTGTAGGCACATCCCCAGTAGGGGTTGTACAGGAGGCAGCTGATTGATGTTTCTAACCCTCTATCCCTCTCCCTTCCTCTCTGTAAAAAAATCAATAAAATATTAAAAAAAGAAAAAAAAATGAAAAGATGACCCACAGAATGGATATTTTCAAATCATATATGTGATAAAGGACTTATATCTAGAATATATAAGCAATGCTTATAACTCAATGATAAAAAGAAAAACCAATTCTGGAGGCGGCTTGGGCAGTCTGGCGGGTTCAATTAAAAAAAGAAAAAAAGAAAAGAAAAGCCAATTAAAAAACAAAGGATCTACTCAGCCTGCGTGGCTCACCTCTGAACCAGGTCAATTACCCTGGTTGTGGGCTCAATCCCCAGTGTGGGGCATGTGGTAGGCAGTGATCAATAATTCTCTCACCAGTGATATTTTTTCTCTTCCTCTCTGAAATCAGTTACATATATATATATATATATGTATGTATGTATGTATATGTATGTATATGAAGGGCCTGTGGAGCTTGAGAGAGTGGAAGCAGGTAACCTGCCTGGGGCAGGGAGTGGGAGGGAAAGCAAGGGGCTTACTCCAAGGAGGGAGAGAGTGCACTGGGTCCTCCATCCTAAGGGTTTTAAGGATGATATTAGGGGAGGTCCTCTTAGGCACCTGGGGCTTTCCATCTAGGTGACTTTCTGTACCTGGCTCATTTTCCTTGTTCTGTCATTAACTGCCTCTACTATAGGACCCCCTGCCTTTCCCTAAGGGAAGATCTGAATTGTACACTTTTATTTTTTTCAATATATTTTTATTGATTTCAGAGAGGAAGCAAGAGGGAGAGATAGAAACATCAATGATGAGAATCATTGATTGGCTGCCTCCTGCATGTTCCCTACTGAGGATTGAGCCCCCAACACGGGCCAGTGTCCTTGACTGAATCAAACCTGGGACCCTTCAGTCCGCAAGCTGACGCTCTATCTACTGAGCCAAACTGACTAGGGCCAGGCTGTGTACTTTTAAATAGTTAATTTTATGTTATGTGAATTTTATCTGAATTTTAAGAGAAAATTGGTACTATATAGATGCATCTTGAAAATATTATGCTTAATGGAAGAAGCTAGTCACAAAAGGTCATACATTTTTATGAAATGTCCAGAATAGTGGTCACCTAAGGCTGGTGGTGCAGGGGGGAGGCAAGGAGGGTAATAGGAAAAAGTATCTAGTTTTTTTGTAAAGCTCTTTTTAAAAATAAACACAATGGAGTGGTGTGGAATGGGCTCTTTGATGTCAAGTAAAAGGCAGGGATACAAATTTTTAATAGTATAAATCAATGTGCTAACAGGTCTTTCTCTAAAAGAATCTTGTAGATATTTCAGGTGAAGTGGAAACAGTGGTTGGCAGGCCAGATTATCTTTAGGCTCCAGGGAGGGGGCTCCCTACAAAGAAAAAGCAGGAGGCGGATGTACCTAAAATCCTTCTCCTGCTCACTAAATGATGCCTGGGAGTTGTGTCCACCAGAACGAGGGACTGTTGACCATTAATAAGTAGGACTCTTCTTTTAGCTACCACAGCAGTGAATGCCTTTACTGCACAAACACTGCCACTCAGTTTCTCTTCTTCCCTTGTGAGGTAAAGGTAGATGTCACCCCACAGTTTTAACATCCATTCTTCTTTCAGTGGTCCTATCTCATCCTGTCCTGAGTACTCAGAAACCTCAAACCTCAGGCCTGACCCTTCTCCTCAGAGCCTGTTCCTCACTCTTTTTTTTTTTTTTTTTTTTTTTTTTGAGTTCCACGTGAGAGCATTTATTTATTTTTTCCCCCTAGAAAATAACTATTAAGTACAGTAAAAACCAACTTGAATCTCACTTCTACACATGGCTGGAGTTATTGAGCCATACAGGTGTTCCTCACTCTTTTGATGGATATTTCCACAGGGATTTCATGTCAGCACTCCCACATGCTACAGGAGTAGTGAGGTGGATGGAGGACACAAGAGATATGTATGAGGGGCATTAGATTCAAACAGTTTTGGCATCAAGTTAGGAATAACCAACGGGACAAAGTAGAATGCTTTCAGCTAGGCAGGTAGGTCTAATAAAAGGCAACACTGGCCGAAGCCGGTTTGGCTCAGTGGTAGGGCATCGGTCTGCGGACTGAAAGGTCCCGGGTTCGATTCTGGTCAAGGGCATGTACATAGGTTGTGGGCACATCCCCGGTAGGGGATGTGCAAGAGACAGCTGGTCAATGTTTCTCTCTCATCGACGTTTCTAGCTCTCTCTCTCTCTCCCTTCCTCTGTAAAAAAATCAATAAAATACATTAAAAAAAAAAAGGCAACACTGGTTGGGAAAGTAGGCGGCCTCCCCAGAAGTGAAGGGAGAAGTGTGTTCTGGGATGAAGCACACGCAGAGGAGAGATGCACCACTCAGGCTTTGACAGTGAAAGTCTGTGTGCTCCAAGACGCCCAGGCTTCTCTTTTCAGCCTTTTTTTTTTTTTTTCACAGTCAAAGCATGATTTGGGGGAAGTGAATTCATACAACTGTAACTGTTTCCCAAAGGTTCTTAGGTACACAGATCTGCAGAACTGATCCCGTCTGTGCCAGGTGGGAAGGGTGACTTACACTCCTGCTAGCCCATATAGGACAGTGGGGGCTTCCCTACATCTCAGACACACTCATTCATATTATTTCATTCCACTTTGGAGACCACCTCCAGTCCCAAAGATGCATTTAAAACAGGAGTTAAAGACCAAGCCCCACTATGCTTTTTAATTATAAAATAATAAAGTCCCATATGCCAGTAGCTCCTGTCTGCAGGGTGGTAAGAGGTATGGCTGAGCTTCTCTTGCAGATGATCCAGCACCGTTACAGGCCAGACTAGATTGTTCTCCAGTTCTCCCCATGGCCAAGAGTCAACATCCACAGCCTAAGCTACCTCTGCTGGGCCAGGACTAGCTGTTGGAACCAGGAGCTCACAGCACCATCCACTCGCATCACCAAAGCGAGGCCCAGGAAGAGTCCCACGCTGCTCACAATGAAGCCCAAGGCCTCAAAAATGAACCTGTGAAGAAAGGTAGAGAACATCAGGGATACCGAGAGTAGGTCTAGAGCTTTTTCCCTGCTGAGGCAAAACCTTGTCCACTCTGGATGTTCCTTCTTTGTTCCCAGTTTCACCCTCCCCAATACCTCTACTCCCCAAGAAAAATCCACTCACTTGGGGGCGAACACCTTCCAGACCATGAGATGCCTGCGGAGGATGGAGGCTGCCAGAGCACAGGCCAGAATCTGAGGGAGGAGAGGAGTCAAGTTACTTGGGAAGAGGAGGAGGAAGCAGGTCAAAGAGAGAGTTGCTGTAGGCCCCTGTGAAGAATGAGAGGAGCAGGAAAGTAGTGAGTGCCGGTGGGGGAAAAACTGGGCTTGGGCAAACACTTAGAAGATCTAGTTCTTTGCCTGGCCCCACCATGACTCGCTGGGTGATCTCGGGCAAGCACTATCCGTCTGTGCCGCTAACACTCAGGCTCTGCCTCCCAGGGAGAAGGAAGATGTCACAATCACACCCCTGCCTCTGAAGGAAAGGAGGACCCATGGCCACAGCTTGGGAAAGAATCCTGGCCATCACTTCGGTTTTTCCAGTCAGAACACCAATGGAGTAACCCCGAAAGCAACAACGGGGTCTAAATCTAGCTTGTAGAGAGGAAACAATCTTAAGACTAGGAATAAAGACAGACTGGATAGGTTCACATTTTAATACTGCCATTCGAAGTCACTAACCTTGGGCAACCACTTCATTTATCTGTACCTCAGTCGAGGCTCTCCCCCAGGGTTTTGGCAAAGTGTGAAAGGAAGAATGTGACATGCACACACTGAGAAAAGGGCATGAATTCCATGATCGCTCCCCTGGACCCACCTGAATACCAAGGACAAAGAGGTACTTGAGGCCCAGCTGCAGCAGTGCTACGTTGAAGTGGTGAGGTGCATCCCGGAGCCGCATCTCCATCAGTGGCGCCGCCTCCTCCTCCTCAGGCCCAGCTCTGGCCTCAGCTTCATTCCCGTGGGGCTGCCGCCTCTTCTGGGACCCTTGGCTCTCACACAGGAAGGGCCAGAGCAGGAGCAATGGGCAACCTACTGCCTCAGAGGAAGGCAGGGCAGAATCAACGGAGGACCCAGGGTCTAGGCAGCCTGGCCCTCAATCAGCCTAGTTCACTCAGCCTCCAATTAACGCAGGCCAAGGGGTGCCAGAGATCCAACAAAATTACATGTCCCCACTCAAATCCAGGGGTCCATTTCCTTCTACAAGGCCAGAGTGAACGGTGGAGGCGAAGGAGGAGTGAGGGGGTACCTGCAAAGAGGAGGTGGGAGGCGAAGGTGTTGGCTCCCACCAGCAAAGCAGGCAGCCAGGTCGAGGAGCCATGACCCTCTGGGAATCCCACGAAGGCTGCGTGCCAATGGATGGTCGGAAAGACAGGCTGGTGACCCGTGGAGTAGAAGGTCTGTGCGGCCATGAGGGCCCAAGCAGAGACTGCCTGCCATGGCACAGTAAAAGGACCTGGGCAAAGAAACATGCGTCTTTGTAGTCACCTCCCATTTCCTAATCCATAGCCTACTGCCCCATGATGATATACTACTACTACTTCAATGCTAATTCTCATACACACGTTTGCCCATCACCCCAACCGCCTATCGTCAATATTCTGTTATTCTAATTACCTCTGAGACACAAAGCCCCATTACTCTAATCTGAACCCCTCTGTGGTCAATTTCTTCTCTCTCATATACACACAGCTCACTATGACATTATATATGGATAATTCACCACTCCCATGAAGGGAAAATCAGAAAATGCACTCATGAGGATGCGGCATTTCCTTGAGAATGAGTCTTAGAGTACTCCTTATCTCCGTCCTCCGTGAACACTGCTGGCCCTCACAGCCAATCGTAGGAATCAATTAGTTTGGCTAGAGCAGGTAAGAGAGATCACAAAGACCTGAGGATTTAACACCAGCCTGAAAACAAACTCACATCCCTACTGTCCTTGGGTGAATCAGGGCTGAGGTATGTATTTACCAGGGGTAGTGATGGGTATCCCAGCAGCAAGCAGATGCAGGAGAAGGAAGCTCTGCAGAAACAGAAGCAGGAACACGAGGCTAATGCGCTCCGCATGCAAGAGCAGAAGTGGGAAGGCCAAGAGGGTGAGGGCCGTGACCATAGCGGCCGAGTAGACACTCCCCAGCTGGTAGGCAGCCACAGTCAGGGGGCCCTGAGATTTGGTTCTCTCCAGCCGGCCCCGGATCTCCTCCTGCATATGTCGGTAGATCTGAGGAACCACATAATCCAGGTCGGCCTGAGAAGTGGGGGGGCCTGAGAAGGGAGTGAGGACAGTCCTGATCCTTGGAGCACCCGTCGTCGTCGTAGCCTTGGCCAGCACCGTCACAGGCCTCCAGAGCAACAGCAAGAGCCCTGAAGCAGCCAACCCTGCAACAGCCCGAGGCAGCACAGCTGATGCACCGGCCACCAGGGCTCGGAGGCGTGGGGGTGCTTCGTCGGCCCCCGAGGCCAATGCCCAGTAGGCGGCGGTGCCCAGCACCATTAGGGGCAGCCCCCAGCGCACGAACAGCACCGTTGGCTCAGGGCTCCTGAGGTTACCGTGGCGGCGAAGCCACAGGCGCACGGCGGCGAACAGGGCCACCAGGGCCCCCACACAAGCTCCATACCACAAGTTCTTGGCTCGACCACCCACCATGGACGCCAGGGGACTCAGCCAGGGAGAGGAGTGGCAAGCAGGTGTCTCTTCAGGGCAGCGGTGAAAAAGCCCAGCCAGCCTTATACACAAAAGCAGCCCAACCCCGAGCCCCAGGGCATGCGTGCCCCTGTGCCCCGAGGGGCCTGCTGGGGCCGGAAAGCCAATGCGGGGTACTGCGAGGAGCTTAGGTGGCAGCAGCTTGCCCTCCCAGTGAAGCTGGGCAACCAGGAGCAAGATAAGTGAGCCCAAAAGGAAGCGGATGGCCCTGGCCTCGGCTACCACGAAGCTGTCTGAGAAGAAGGCGGCAAAGCGAATGAGCAGAAGTAACAGAATAGGCCTGGGAACCGGAAGCAAGGCTGCAAGAGGCCTCTTGGACCCCCAGCCAACCCAGGCTTTCCACAGAATGTGCAGGACTGAACCCACTGCAGCCACAGCCCCTACAACCACGGGATCCAGCTTCAGCTCAGTAGTTGCCAGAAGGCCAGCACACGCTACAATCCCAGCCAGACCCCAGGCCACAGGTATGAGGAGGAGAGGGGGGAGGTGAAAGTCGGGGGATGTTGCCCACTGGGCTATCAGCAGGCAGAGAAAGCAGGCAGCAGCCAAAAGAGCAGCACCCCCTGCCATGCGGACCAGAGAAAACCGAGCCCAAGACTCAATGCACATGGCCCGAACTCCACGCAGGAACTCCTGCAGCTCAGTAATCACAGTCTGTAGTGCTGCCTCGGCCCCCTGCGGGCTCTG